TTGATGTTTTTTATTTAATCAAGTCTTTAGTTCTTAAAAATTTTATTGATTAATTTTAATCAAATAAAAGAAAGATAATATAGTTTCTTAATACCCTAGCTGTGATGCAAATTTTCAAACTTTGAACAATAATATCCCAATATCTATTTATTTAAAATCAATACAAATTTTATTATTTAATTATATGAATCAATAAAAAAAATTTCATGGATTTTATATAAGTAGTTGGAGTTGAGTCAATAGAAATCAAGTAAATTTTTTTAAAACTTTAAACAAAGATAAATTAACCAAAACTAATCAAATTTAATAAAACCTTTTTAAAATAAATGTTACAAGTTTGTAGAATTCATTTTTTAAAAAATGTATTAAGTTTGATTAAGTTTTTGTTAAGTTATTATTGTTTAAAGTTTCAAAAAAATTTTAATAAAAACAATTTGCTTGATTTCTATTGACTTACCCCAGTTATTAAGATATTCTCATTCAAAGTTTAGCCGCGGTCTTTGTTTTGGTAATTGCCTAAATTTTTTTGAGCTTTGAGAGAGGATATCAAGATAACTACCTGTTTAAATCTATGAATTCTTTTTTATTTTGATTCTGTAAATTAATAGAATTAAAATATATTTTTTTATCAAGTTTAGATAAGCAGCTACTGAGATATCATTGCTTATAGTTCAATAAAAATTTAAGCAATTAGCAAAAAGACTGCAGCTAAGTTTTTTCCAAACTTTGAGGAATGATATCTCAATAACTACCTATCTAAAATTGATAAAACTTTTTTTATTTAGTTTAATTCTATTGTTTGATATAATTAAAACAGAAATGTTTCTATCGATTTTAAATGAGTGGTTATTGAGATATTTTCGCTCAAGGTTTGAAACTTTTCATACGGCATGAGAACTTACATGATGATCAACATGCATAACCTAGTCGATATTTTTGACTATATCGATAATAATAAATATTTAGAAACCTGAGCTGCGAAATAGTGAAATCCTCGGGTTAGGGTGAAATCCGCGTTTTATTATGTTTTTTATTATAATATGACAATAATCCGACAAGCAATTATAGCACGTGATATTGGCGTGATTTTATTGGTGGATATGCGAGATATATATATACTGTATATTGTCTAAAGTATTATCAGTAAAAAGTTACACCCATTTCGTGTCTTTCTATACAAGGTTGCCTAAATTACTTCTCTTAATAAATAATTATTTAACAATTAATCTTTCGAAATTATTTTTTCATAGTTGGAGAAATTATTGGCAAATTGATTGAATTCCTTATTTCAATAGTGTAATTATTTGATAGTTCATATAAAAAATATGACAATGGTGGAATGTTTTTGAAGTTTTTGCAACTTCAAATCTTTTATCTTTTTTTCTTTTAATGGGTCCAACTTTTTTAATTGTGTTCAACCTTTTTTTTTTTTTGTTGAGGAAAAAAGCTTCAGATTTTTCAATAAACTTTATTACCTATAAATTAATTTTTATTCGAGCCTGATACCTAGTTAAGAATATGTAAAAAAAAAAAAATATATATATATATATATATATGAATATCTTATATAGCAATAAAATAAATGAATAGTATAGCTTGTCAAATCATTGGTTAGGTTCATCAAAAATTTGATGCTTGTTATTGCGTTGAACCTTGAACAAATTACTGTATTAAAAAAAAAGGGCTGTCCAGATTTCCTAGTGTTGAAACTAAATGAGCAAACTGATTTTTAAGAAATATGACAGTAATGTTATCGACATCAATACCTTTTTTAAAAAATAAGTTAAAGAAGTAAATCTTCATAATTTTATTTGCTTTATTTCACAAACAGTTTCTGGTGCTTTGTAATCATCTGTACAATTTGCAGTATAAAGAATCATTGTAGGTAGGTATAACAAAAATATATTATCGTTATTGATTATTAAGATAATCAAAATAAACAAATCAATCGTACATATTGAACATCGGTGATATAAAATTAATCGAGTTTAAACCGTAACTTATTTTTGGGCGACGCTTGGTTCGTGCATACACTTTGTGATTTCATCACTCCGTTCCTGGTAACGATACGTAGTAAATCATTACGTATTATGATCTGTTATCTGTTATCCATATCCATTCAAGGAAACTAACCGTATAAAGTTTTTTCACTATAAAAAATCCATTGTCATGTGTAATAATGAGCTTGATGCGATATAGGCTAAAATCTAATATTGCCTGAACAGTCCGATTTTCAAGGAGCTTACTCATTAAAGATAGTGAATATCAATGATATCAATTTAAGGTAAGCCAATTTAAGCCAATGGGTAATCATTATCGATTATGGCACAATGTATGTCGATTTAGAATTATTATATTTATATATAGATTTAACGTTATAAATGAAGTTTTCAGTGAGAAAATTTAGAAATGAAATGATTAATATTATTTTTATTTTATTTTATACATATTTTAAAAAAGTTCCTCAAGAAACATTCAAAGTTCATTTGTTTTTACATTGTATCTGTCAATCTTTGTTTCAAACTTCATTTTCTATTTTATGACGATTATCTATATAAACAAGATATGCAGCGCTTAACTTCTTTTAAGTTGAGATAAATGTTGGTCATTTACCTATTACAACACTTTAGCGCAATCGATGGTCCTCCTAAAATAGTATGATTCAGTCCGTTCAAAAGATTAAATTGATCAAATAATTTGATTAAATCTAATTTTAATCTATATGCCAAAATTTTTTATTAATTTTGAAAGTTTTAGATGTTACAAGCTTTCGAAATTTGAATTTAAATGCAACTCGGCTCGGCACACCAAAAGTCAGTTATGTATAATGCTCATTATAAGTTATTGAATAATGCGAATCATTTTCATTAAAAACGAAACGTACCATTATTTTATAGATATCTTTCAGTTTATAAGCAATATCTTAATTCTGTAATTATCGTTATACGTAGACCGAATCTTGCGATCACATGATAAGATGCCTATACTTGTCGTGAGTGTCGCGCCACAAACGTTCTTCATCGAATATATCAATCAAAAATATGCATGTTGACTATTAAATAGATTCCATTGGGCCATTGTATAATGACTATTTAAGGTGCGGCAATTCTAAAAAATAAAAATAAAAAATTATTTAATGTTAGTGTCATCCAAAATGAGATTTGTAATTCGTGGCAACAATTTCTGAAATTGTGAAAAATGATGTACTAACTATCATTGGAAATAGATCTATGTGTAAACATGTGATGATTATTGTATTATCGAAAAAGAATTTGTTTGCTTGAGGTTTTCGGGATTCACGTGCCACTATGTGGCATTTCTATCGCTATCGAATCAAGAGTACATATCTTTAGATTAAATGTCACCGTGCATGTGCGATCCATTTGTGATATATATACATCTTTTTATATATCTTTTGTATATCTTTTATATATCTTTTATATATCTTTTATTATCTTTTATATATTCTATTATCTTTGTCTTTTATCATAGTTCGCTTAAGCGCATTTAGATACGTATAAGTTGGTCTGACACCATGATTCCTAAATCAAATGTTCAAAAAATTACCCTTTTCTGGCCCAAAGATTTTCTATGCATTCTATAATTCTCTTTATAGTATTACGTATTTATGTACGTACGCACGTACGTAATTACCCACATATCTGATATCAGATATCAATATAACAAAACGTATCGATATAAAATTCTTAGGAAATAAATGAAATAAATTCATTTTTTTTTTTACACATAATTGGTTTTCAAATGTTAGTCATCAAATTATTTATAAATAGAATACTCGGGACTGGGACTGAAAATCGGGACAAGTTAGCTTTTCGGATTATTTCGATTGCCGGTATATGCTATCTATATATTATTATATTTGTACTAGTGATGCACTAGTTCTGTACTATTTACTTTGCATTTTTAATTTTTCATTTGTGAAGCATTTATTATTATTGTGTACGTCATTCGTGATATATAACAAAATTAATATTAGCATAAAGAGAAATCGTCCTTGTACGCATGTATAGTGTATGCATATATAGTATTCATAACAATATGATGCATCATTAATTCCTTTGTTTTATTTTACAATATTTATTCACTATCTTTTTTTTAGTGTCACGCATGCTATTATCTTTCGTGCTCCTTTATTCTGTTATCTAAATTATTAAATAACCAACTGTTATTAATCTTGTGCTTTCACAAAACCGTTCACACATAAATAAAAGATACATAAGTACGTACATATTAATATAAATTAAAATGTCAAGTCAAAGCCTTGGGATTTTCTTCACTAGCTGAATTTGCTAAACGTACCAGGTTTGCATACGTATGTACTAATTTGTACTTAGTGCATGCCGCACGCTAAACAATTAAAACAGATTAAGGTAACATTAAATTTGATATGGTTTTTATTAGCAGAGTTTACTCCGATACGTAATTGGTGTAAATATAGTTGTCTGCGTTTATACATATGTATCCACCTAATTGACATTTTCCATGTACGTTTCATCTGCATTAGGCAAGTCACAAGCCACTAAATCATTTCCCAGATTGGGGTCCCTTAGATTTCATATATTGATCTACTTACTACATAAATTGTATTCTTGATATCTAAATAACCTATTAACCCTAGTCGTATCAAAAAAGTATCTCTAAAAACATCAAAAACACAACTTTTTTTAACGCGGCTTTAAGGACCCCCCCAGATTGGTAATGCTCTTTAAGGTGGAACGTTTCAACCTTTTCCCGACTTAAAAAAATCCCGCCTTTTTTTTTTTTTTTTTTACCTTGTCTCCTATTTATCATAACTTTAACTCTCTTTTTTTCCCCTCGATTAAAAATAAAAAAACTATTATTATCAATTATAAATATTTAAATATATATTTTTCGAAGAAATCTTTTTTTTTCCTTTTCTTTTTTATTATCTTTTTTTTCTTTTTTATTATTATTATTATTTTTATCGTTATCTTTATTACGTTATAGTTAGGAAAAAAATGCCTTCAAAAAAATCAACTTCTAAAGAAAATCTTTCCCAGCAACAAATTTCAATCAATGTTGACCGAGATGATGGTTTGACGTCAAAAAACAATATATCATCAAAACTTTCTTCTGCTGGACAGATTATGGAAAAAGATATGACCTCTACAAATATCATAAATGATACGATAGATAAAAAGATTATAATAGGGCAGGATACCCCTAATAAAATTAGTAATAATGAAGAGAAATCTTCATTAAAAACCGCGTCTCGCTCTAAATCAAATATTACTCAGTCTCCAAATAAATCGAATTCAACTTCGGTTCATGCAAAACAAGTTAACTCTACAAAAGAAAAACAAAAACCAAATCCAATTATTACTACTATTCGTGCAAAATCTGATTCTGACAAGAAAAAAGTTACGTCTACTCCTAAAATTAAGAATGTAAATTCTCGAAAACAAAACAATGAAGTCATCATAGATGATGATTCTTCTGAAAATGATAATTCGTTAAATAAAAAACGTTCCATACCTCCAAAATTGAATCTCGCTTTCAAAAATCGTCCTATTGATCCTCCAAAACAATCTCCTTTGAGATCAACTATTACTTCTGATTCATTGGCAAAACCTCCTCTTATACCTCCTAAAATAATGGAGTTACGTCGTTCCGGGTCTTTTACTCCAAAATCTAATAATAATACTGATGAGGATACTAATTCTATTCCCACAAATCCTAAAAAAAAATCTACAAAACAACAAACTTTCTCTTCTAAAGTCCGTCGTGGTTCCACTGTAAGAACTCAAGCTAAAAAGACTACTTCTGCTTTGGGCGTCTTACCTAAAGGTGAACTTAATCAAGAATTACTTGCAAGATTGGAAGAACAAAATTCTCAATTATCTCCTCAGGTAATTTATCATTCAATCAAATTTAATTAATTATATATTAATTATTTATATCTATATTCTTTCAATTAATTCTATCATTATTCTACATTTATTTTTTTTAGGACTCTACTGAATTTCTTCTTGCTCGTCTCGAACGTCAAAATGAAATGTTGGATAACGATCCTAAATCTGTTTGCATTAAATATAATGTCCTCCAAGCCAATTTGGAAACTGTTCAATCCCTTATCAATAATAATACAAATTTATCTATAAAGGATGTTTCCGATGAAATAATTCCTGTTACTGAAAATGATAACCTTTCTGATATCGTTGATTTGGATTTTTGGTCTGCATTAATTCAAGATTATACTTCGGTGGCTGCAAAAACTCCTCATCTTCTTGCTGCAAAATTACAACAAGGTTTACCTCAAAACTTGAGAGGTTTAATTTGGCAATCAATGTGTCAAGCTTCTTCAACTTATCTCGAAACTATGTATTCTCAACTTTTATTGGAATCTTCTCCTTATGATAAGATTATTCAACGTGATTTAGCTAGAACATTTCCTACTATAGAAATGTTTAAGGAAGAAAATGGTGAAGGTCAAACTATGCTTTGGAATGTATTAAAGGCTTATAGTCTTTATGATCCTTTGGTAGGATATTGTCAAGGTCTCGGTTTTTTGGTCGGTCCATTGCTTATGAATGTAAGTTTTCCTATATATGTTAAATACATGCTAAATATATGCTAGATATTCTAGATATATTCTAGATATATTCTAGATATATGCTAGATATATTCCAGATATATTCCAGATATATGCTAGCATATTCTAGGTATATTCTAAATATATTCTAGATATATTCTAGATATATGCTAAATATATTCTAGATATATTCTATATATATTCTATATATATTCAGATATATTCTATATATATTTTAGATATATTCTAAATATATTTTAAATATATGCTAGATTATTGTCATTTTATATGCTAGATAATTATAATTTTTACTTATATTTGTATCACCATTAAACTAACATTTTAGATGAATGAAGTCCAAGCGTTTTGTGTTTTCGTTAGGTAATATACTTATCTATTATCAACTTTGCTTTACAATTATATTTATTTGTCTAATCATATATATATGATTTTTAATTTTATAGATTGATGGAAACATATGATATGCGAACAATGTTTACACTTAACATGGAAGGCCTTCAACTTAGACATTACCAATTCTCTGCTCTTCTCTCTCAAATTCTTCCTGATCTTCATGCTCATTTCCTTGAATATGGGGTTAATGTAGCTATGTTTGCTGCTCAATGGTTCTTATCCCTTTTTGCTTATACATACCCATTACCACTTATCATGAGAATTTATGATATCGTATTTGCTGAAGGTGCTCCTGAAACAATCATGCGTGTTGCCGTTGCTCTTTTACAAAAGAATGAAGCTAAATTACTTGAACTTGAAGAATTTGAAGATTTATTGGATTTTCTTACAACAAGCCTTTATGATTCTTATAATAATGAACCTACTGGTTTAATACGTGATGCTATGGCTTTAAGTTCAGTAATTACAAAAGCAAAATTGGATCAACTTTCTGAAATTTATGTTAAAGAATTAGAAGATCAAAAGAAAAGAGCTGATGAATTAGTTGCCGTTAGATTTAATGGAAGGTTTGGTAGAAATAAAAAAGAAAAGAAAAATCGTGAAAAACGTGATAAACCTAATAAACGTTGGACATTCGGTTCCATTCCAAGTTCAAGGGATTCTTCTAGTACTGCTAGTGAATCTACTTCAGAAAATGAATCCTCTCAACTTCAAACTTCAAATCCTCTTTCTCCAAGTAGTACAAACGTTGGAATTTTACATCAACAAATCGAAGATCTCGTAACTGTTTTATCAAATCTTCAAAAGGAACATTTTGATGTTACTGAACAATTAGTAACTATTAAAATGGAAAAAATGGATTTCATATCAGAAATTGAAACATTAAAATCGAAATTAAGAGGTTTAGAAAAAGAAAAAAGAATGTCAACTGATTCAATATATTCTATTGAATCTACAACTACTTTAAATGATGAAAATTCTTCTGGACGATCTACTAGAATATCATCACCAGTAACTCCAACTTTATCGAAAACAGAACTTTTTATAAAACAAAACGATACTTTAAATTCAAAAATTTCACAAACAAAACATCTATCCGAATTAACTATTGATCAAAAATCTTCCGTTTTAAATAATGATACTACTGATAATTGGTCGAATGAATTTAAGAAAGGTTTTATTAATGATACCACTATGGCTGATGAACTTGAACGTATAAAAGAAGAAAAATGGGAATTAATTCAAGAAAATATTGAATTAGTTAAACGTGTTGAGGAATTAGAGGTCGCAATGGAAAATTCTACATTGACACAAAGTCAATTATTAGATAAAAATATCTTTTTAAGGGAAGAAATAGAACGACTTGATGAAGAAGCTACACAAGCATTATATGAACAAAGTACAATGGAAAATGATGTAAAAGAGGTGAAAAATTTAAGATCTGAAAATGCAAAACTTATCACAGAAAATGAAAGATTCAAAAAAGAACTTGAAGCTTTACGACAAGGAACTACTGATTCAAATGAAAAGATTGATATCCGTGAAATTACTAATAAGGTTGCAAATACTCGACGTGTTTCATTCTTGAGTTTCTTTGGTACCGATTCAGGTCTTAAATATAATTCAAAGAGAAGGAATACTGATCCATTTACAGATTTACAAATTCCTGAATGTATTGGTGATTGTGCCGCGAAAAAACGTGCAGATAACTCGGAACAAATGTTAAATCATGTTAAAACATTACTTGAACAAAGTGAAGCAGCTAGGAACGCTATGAGTGTACAATTAGAAGAACTAAATAATTTGATAAATGGTTTCAGTGACATTTCGGATCTTGTACCTTTTGAACCTGAGGAAATAAATTCAAAACCAAACCGAGGAAAACGATTTTCGACATTATCATTAGCATCATTTTTTGGTAACACACCATAACGTGATGGGAAATGAATTTATATAAATATTTTTTTTTATTTTATTTTAAACAACATTTGAAATGTTATTAATATTATTACAAATTTTATATAGTTTGTTTTTTTTTTTCAAAGGACAATACTTTTTTTTGTTTTATTTTTTTCGAGGAAATTAATCATTTCCTTTTTTTTCGTAATTTATTCATAAACACTATATATATATGTGTATATATATATATGTATATATATATATATTTCTTTTTTTCAAATATCGATTTTATGCCCAAGTTTTTAAATTAAAGGAAATAGGATTATAGGCTATGTAGGATTTGTAAGAATATAAAGTGTAATAAATATATTTAAGAACGTTTTCACTCTTACTGTATCCATGATGTTAATTAAATGTCATTATATTTTGTTTATATTTATTTATTCGTTACGCATATCGACATACCATAAATTTGCGAAAAAAAAACGGCATTGGCGTTTATACCAATACGTATTTTGAAGATTGTGTTCCTAAAATAATATAGGAATAATTTCTGTCCGTATTCGCAGTCACGATATTACATTAATTAATGTTGCGGTTGAAGCTAGAAATGGATGAAACTAGAAAATTAATGAGTTTAGTAGTTCGACCTCAGCTGTTTCCATCTTCAAAAAATTATTAATGAATAAGTTTATATAAGATGAAGAATAAAAAATTTCAAAGAATCCAAAAGTTTTCGTAATTGAGATTTTTAACTTTAAAGAATATAAGGTATATTGATCAGAATTGGACAATTTTGGTACCATTCAATTCGTCTCATCGAGACGAATTAAATGGTACCAAAATCGTTCGATTCTTATCACTAGACCACAAGATATTGTTTAATTTGGTTCAGTGCCTAATTCGGCACACACAAGATATCTAAAATAATAGTAGACTAGTGGTGGCAGAAATAACACGTCATCACGTGACCGAAGATCCTTTCCGATGTAGTTGCCGGTGACACCAGAGAACCGGTCTCGGCGTGTCGGTCGCTTCTCAAACGGATACGTCGTGTAACCTACGAACGGC